AGTCCTGTTTATACCCTTTTGGTCACAAAACTAATATATTTTTATAATTATACTAATATTATAAATATTATAAATATTATAAAATTTATATCTGCGGAGTATTTGCGGAGTATTTGCAGCGGATACCCAACGGGTCCCCATTCAGATTTTTCTATTATCCGCCCCGCAAACGGAGGACCCGCGGGGGACCCGCCAGGCCAATAATCCGCCCCGCGGGTACCCGTTGCGCAGCCTAATTGTAGATAATATCTTGAGATGTATAATCTGTAGATATATAACAAAACTTTTCAAGTTAGAACTTTTAGAAAGGTGATTTGATTTGTAAAGCAGAATGGAATGCTATAGAATGTAGTGAAGTGTATTGATATATTCAAGTAAATAGTTGAAATGAATATAAGAATTATAATATCACAAGATATCTTAATTATAAGATGATTTAATAAAAAAGAGATACTTGAATATTGATCTCTTTATCTTGGATCTGCTTTAAGAAAAAATGAAGCTTTTGAATTTAATATTGAATAGCATTTTGAGGATTATCTTGAGATTCAATATTTGTAGATATACAACAAAACCTTTAGAACTTCTAGTGAAGCAACTTGATTGAGGGATGGAACGAATTGTGTTGATGTATTGAGTGAATGGGTTATCATGGAATGAATGAAGGAAGGATGGAATTATGATATTGAGATATCTTGGTGGAAGATCAATTCAATCTTGAGTTCCTTATCTTGAAGCTTTGAGAATGAAAGAAGAATGAAAATGAAGCTTTTGAATTTGATATAAACATATTGTTTTGAGAACCATCTTGAGATCTATCTTGAAATCTAGAAACATGAGATATGCAACAAAACCTTTTGAATCATTAAAGGAGAGAGTTGATTGGGCGGAAGCAGAGTGAAGGATGTTGAAGAGTGTTGAAGTGATGGGAAAACTGAATTTAGGAATGTGATGTTGAATATTTTTGGGATAAGGGTATCTTAATTTTAATCTTCATCTTGAAGTTATGAGAATAAAATGAAGCTTTTGAATTTGGTGAGAAGTAGGATTTTGGGAAGTATCTTGAGATCTGAAAATATGAGATATGCAACAAAACTCTCAGGATTATAAGGAAAGCGAGATAACTGGTGAGAATGAACTAGAGCGAATGAAAAAACGAAGTGAAGGGTGAGGTAGGTATAAATGAAGTGAAGGGGAAGTGAATATGGAAAAATATATTCAGCTGGGGAAGGATAGAGCTTTCGAAGGGTATTCATATTGGAGAGAGATATAATATTTTCACCCATAAAATAAACATTCTTTATTTACATTTATGGTTAGAGTGAACAGATGAGTAGAACTCTATCCTGTCATTTACAGTGATTGTTACATCCTTCAAGAAGGTATGTAATATTCTAAAAAGTAATCTAGGCAGTCTCACTGGCATTATCCCAGATTATATGTGACTGAGGCCATTAAGACAATTCGGGTTATGGTCATAGGTACGTGTATACTCAAGTACTATATCATATTCCTGATTTTGTATCTAAAAGCCACTCATACCCCATGTCGACCGGAAAAGGACACTGAGAATGTATATAGAGGGGAAATCAAACCTTTTTCGCTCCGGTAAATAGGCTCAAACACACAACGGTATTTCTTTACTTTTGTTACAATGTACGAGTAGAACTACTATGTGATATGGAAGTGCTACTTCAGAACTATCTGTTTAGATAGTGTAAGAGTATATTGATATTACCTTGGTAGTGATAACATTAATATCAAATGATTCATATCTAGTATTATTAAGTTATAATTATTATTATATATTAGATTATTTCTAGTATTTAAAAATGGAAAACTTTGTACAGATATAATGTATTAATAATTATTAATCGTGAGTAGCCCTACTACTAGTATAGCTAGTAAATAACAGCACTTGTACTATAATGAATAAATAACACTTCATACTCGAACTTCATTTTATACTAGTATGATTTAAATCTCAGGGTTTCTGTAAATTAAGGTGTGTACCTTAATCAAATCCAATACTTGGTTTGTTCATGATAAGATGCAAACTTGTGACATGCGAAGATTCTGAGTATAGTATGCTACTGCAAGAGCTAATTACACCTATCTGTCTCAATATCACACTCGTGACTCCCCTTCTCCTCCGAATATCAACCCAAGTGTGACCAAAAAGAATATATAGAGATATCGATTTGTATGACTTAGAATCTACGATTGAAGAGCACTTGTAGATGGAAATAACTTGTCTATATATACACAAGTGAATGGACTAGCATTCTAGGCCAAACAGAATCTAACAATAATATAACAGTCTGAAAGATCCGCCAGGTCCGACACCAAGGTCCGGAAGTATCCCAAATGCTTCCTCATCGGACCTGTATAGTTCGTCATCTAACAGGAACCCCATTATCCCGCTAATGAGCTATATACCAATGGTGGAAGGAAAGCCAAGTTTCCCGTCACACCAAGTTACCTCCATCCACCCTTATCACGTTTCCAGCCCTGGTAAAATCCCTCTTATTCAGTATCACTCCTTACTCTCCTGTTGAAAAGTCTCCATCTCACTCTTCACTTTCTGCCACTTCTTTCTCAACTCTTCCGGCCCCGTGCGATCCCATTTCTCGTGCAGGCTCTTTACACCGCCCTCCCAATCCCTCAAACTCGGCCATGTAGCACTCCACTCCCACCCTAATTCGTACCACGGCATCGGTCCCGACCTCCTGAATGCGTAATTCAGCAAGCTCTGCTCCATTGTATGTGGATTGAACCTCCTCCAATTTCCCATCACACTCGTCAAATACTCGAATATCTCCGTACTCGGCGCTGCTAACCAAAATCCCGCTGAGAAGCTTTCCGTCGGAGGTGGGGGGAAAGGGTGATCTCTTTCCCCAGAGAAGGCGTTGTCGCTGCGTGCGGCGAAGGAGTAGTTGCTAGGTAGCGGCTTCTCGTCATTTTTCACCTCTAGAGTCCTGTGTAGTAGTGACGTCATGGGAATCTGAATCATCGCCTCGTCAAAAATCCCATCAATGGGCTTGACGATCAGTGTATCGGCGTCGATGAATAAAACCCGTTCATACTCTACCATCTCGAAAATGCGCAGTTTGGTGAATTGGTCTTTCCATCGCGTTACTCCCGTCGATATCCAGTAGGGAAGGGGCACGTCAGCTACAACCTCTACAATTGCGCCGTCGAGCTCTAAGCGCTTAAGTTTTGAACTGGCAACGTCTTGGGTGCAGAGCACGAGGAATGGAATGTCTGCTCTCTTAGACCGCGTTTCAGGATCATGTAAGAGCTGGTACGTTAATGTTCTAGCAGCTTGGAAATAGAAATCGTCTTCTATGGGCGCGGAGGGGTCTTCGCCGCCGGACAGAAATGTCGCAATCGCGACCTTTGAGGAGGAGTGGGTTTTTCTCAGAGGCGCATAGTTGGGGATCTGGTTGTATTGAGGCTTAGAGAAGAGGTAAAGATAGCTGAACGTAAGGGTGACGATTAGTAAGGATATGCAGAGGAGGCGGCGTCCAGGAGGAGTCATTCTGTATACAGCCCACGACCCTATATGGAGTGAAAGAGGCTTAGTTATGCGGAGAATTTGGCGAACGTTGTTGATGCATACTCCAGTACAGATCACTCTGTTTATAAGGAACGCCCAAAATCCTCACTTATTGTTCCTTATAAAAATAATTCCTTCATGTAGTTCACCTGTATTTGGGTCACGGACCCCGACGCGATGCGCTTTTCCTTACTTGTTCATTGTAATATATCCCCAATAAAGCTTAACCTACTCGTATAGCACAACGCTTAACAAGCATGTCAATCCTTATGCCGCCAAAAAGTCCGCAACTCGGGTAAACCAGCATGTACCATATAATGGTAAAGTACAAGGGAGTAACCTAGTTCAACCTAATTCGTTGATATTCCCTACTATCGTAGGGCATTAACCCGCAGTTAAGGGGATAGGCAAAACTTCTAAGCCCAAACCTGAAGTGGGGTGCAACTACTACACAAATAAATAGTCCTAGAACTACACCCTAGGATATGCGACAGTGCCAACTTCGGCCGAGCCCTAGTAGCTACGCTCTAATCTTTGAAGATTAGTAATATTAGCGTAGAAATCTAACGGCCATCGTCTTATCTCAGCCAACTGAGGCTGGGTCCAACCGCATTTGATCTAGCTGTCGATCAAGCCAAAAGCTGAACTGTTTCTATAATTGGAAGGATTTTGAAGTTAATTTTGGTTCCCATGTTTGTACATTAGCGACTTTAAGCGATTAAAGCTAGACTGTATATAGCCTGGCTTCGTTCCGTCCAAATGCAGTTGGACTGAATCTCGATTACTGTAAAAGCCACTGCAAGAGTATTTCCTTTTAGTATAAAACTAGAGAAAACTAGATCTGAAACTGTATATTACAGACTGTGATAGGCGAATTATATAATCAAGGATCATTATATAATTTTATATTATTACGGTTTTTGAGCGTAATGAATTATTATGCCAAGATTATGCCGAGGTTTCTATAGCCATTCATATTCTCTATTTAGATCGCGTGAGTATCCCCCCCCTGAGATCACGTGTATATATGCATATTATATATCTCCGAAATCAATTAACTCTAGTCACAGTCGAAAAATAGTAAATTCGTAGATCAAAAGAGGATCTCTTTCTAATAGGATTTCGATATTTCAATCTGATAAGAGAACCTTAAACTTACATCCCTGCAATGGCTTTCCCAATTTTCCAAAAGTATACGGTAGTTGAGGTGAGACGGTGAGACGGTATCTTCATCATATAACCCTACGGAATATAATATATTTATACAGGCTCTACTATGACTAGTCTAGCCAATGAGTCTAAGATGGTAGATTGTCAAGTGATGTGATACCGTCGCAACAAGATCTTGGTAATTATCACTAGGGATAGCACATCAGAGCACCTGCAAATAGTTATACATGTGCCCAACCATTCTCCACAAGGACTTGCATCTCGTTTATCAGACAGTGAATCCCTTCCTCGTGAACTTCCGCATGTCCTGTTTGTTGCGCCTCGTTGCGCCAGAGTTGTACCCTTCTTTTTATCATGAAACGTTCCGTATACCTCCATGGAAACCCAGTCCACCGGGCCCACCTGTTACTCCATATCCCCTCTAATATATCTCTTTTGCTAGGCCATCTCCCCCCTTTAGAATTCACAATATTGTCGGCTTTGGAATTGTATGATACTCTTACATTTGGATTGAGCCAAACGCCTTTTGTCAAACTCAAACTATTGTCTGCGTGGATAAGACAGCATTCTGATCCTTCTAGATGATGAAGAGCAAGACTATCTGGGATCCCCCGAAAGCGTAAGGATGGATTCTTATAGAATGAATCTGCTTGGAAGACAACTATTCCATTCCAGCAGGACTTAACAGGTACTGGAGAGCTTGACTTCATGGCGTTCCGAGATTCGGCTGCCAGAAAAAAAGGCCAGGTTTGAGTAATGGGGCTTTCGCCTGAGATGTCGCGGAGAGCAAATGTATCATAAAATAGCGGAGGGTTTGAGAAATCGACTGTACAAGCAGCGGCGTAATTACCATCTCTTGTCGCAATCAGAGTCACAACGTCTTCGGTCTAAAATTCGAGTCAAAAGAGGATTAATCACTTGAGCTATAACAGGTTAAAAATGAAAGAAATAGTTGAGATACCGTGAAAATGACGTCGTTTAACCACAATATCTTGTCGAAGGATCGCTTTCCTTGACCATCTGTCCTTTCTGCGAGCTGCTTCAGCTTTTCCATAACTCCGTTCCGTAGTTTTGCAAGATACGGAATTCGCCGTAACTCCTTTCTGCCCTTGCTTGTCCAGATCCATCCCTCCTCGTTTGGTTCAGGTATCCGTTCCACTTTATCTTTGTGTGTGCTCTCCAAAATTTCAATACTTCTCTCTACCCCAAGCTTTTCCAATTCCACATCCAAATCTCTTAAAGAACTTTTGGTGTTATCCCAACTGCCACTTTCTATAATAGAGATATAGACGTTGTCTGCACCGAAATACCTCACTAGGTCTAACACGGCAGCACTCCAATGAGAGCGTATAATGAGCTCATTATTCCAATGTATGCTAGCAAGAAATATGCGATCTTTGCGGATAACACTATCGGATGAGGTCGAGGAAGCAGAATTCCGCGCTAGCGGTGGATTGAGGGAAATTGTCAGGAGAAAGTCGATCGACAGCACAATGAGCAGAAGGAAGGTAGCTAGACGAATCCGGCTCCGGCATAGATACCATAATCGGCGGATGGAATATAGAAGCATACGCATAGAAGATTCCTACATTTCAGTAAGCTCTAGGTGTGGAAGAGAGGATCTTTTAAATTCGCTGTTCGAGAGCACGGGACAAAGTTGTGGTGCTAGCGAATTTGTTATTTCTAGAACCGTACCTTAATGCCCAAGATATGGGGCAGCAATCAGTTCCCCGTTTTCACCCTGGACTCTGCCACTCGTCCTCGTTATCAGTGAAGTTGGGGTAGAAGCAATGTATCTCAAGGGCCATTTGAAGCGCGATCAATCCTATTTCTATACTTCAGAAAGTATGTCGGATTACTTGATATATCTTTGTGTCTCTCCTTATTTCTCTTACATAAATTCAATTAAAATCATTGTGTAGTGAGGCCAGCAAAGTCGAAATCGAATCAATTATAGAACTATTATTAAAACTTCTTTGAATATAAAGTTCCGGTCTTTATTCCTAGCTTTTCTATAAAATATCCTATTCACTTAGTAATAGCTTCTTTAGATATAGAAAACGGATTTTATTACATTATAATAAAATAATGGTTTTTTAATATAAAAATGTATTAAATATTCTATTCTATTCTTTTCGTTTTTTATTTATTCTTTTATATGACGGAATAGACGGCTCTCTTCCGTCCACTGGCTCATACTACGTATATAGCATAATACAATGACTCTCTTAGACCTTCCTTTCACAGCTTAGAGCCCTAGCTCTACAACTCTAGACCTAGGTATTATACAATGTTTATCTCTAGGACTCTTTTACTCTTCTGAGTCTAGTCCTTATAACTCCCAATACCTATATATATAGTCTTTCTTTTAATATTCTATATAGCTTTTCACTTATAGATTCTAAATACATAATTGAAGTCCTGTTTATATTCTTTTGGTCATATTATCTACAAGTCAATACTCTATAGTTACAATTAGAGATAATTATTAAATCTCTCTAAATCTCCTTTTCAAAACTAATATCGACTA